CCCGTATATCTTAATCAATTGAGAAATTACTTTAATGATGCTTTTTTATTTAATAGTTTATATTATGGATGAGGTGGTCCATATGAGGATAGTCTACTCGTAGTCATTGAGCTTTTAATGTTCTGTAACCCATTTAAAAAGGTCAATTCTAATATACATTTATCTTTTTCTCAGAACGTTTGGTGTCTGGAAGCGTCGCTTCCCTGTTGTGGCATTAACACTGCGTTTATCATTGCCTAAGGTTCAGGCAATAATAATTGCTACCGCAGTGTTGCATAATATTTGTAGGAACCACAACTTAGAGGAAGTTCCTTCAGAAGTGGAGCTGCCAATAGTGGAAATAAATGAAGATATGTACTTTTCGGAAGTTCAAGATGTCAGTGAAAGAGCAGCACTTGTAAATAATTTTTTTAGATAAATAAATACTTTTCAAATCAATGTTTGCTTTATTACATACAAATTTTAAACCTAAGTTAAACTTTATTTCCAAATTTGAGGTAAGGCTCTCAACAGTGAATCAATTATCAGTTTTAATCTTAAGAAAAAATAAAACAAAAAAAGAACAAGTACCTAAATCCAATTCCTGTCCTGTTTCATAATTAATATTTTTATTTGAAAAGATTAATAATAGAAAAGTAATTATTTTTATAATAACATTTTTATAATTACTTCATAAAAACACTACATTACTTCACAGAAAATAGAACTATGGGTTGACTAGTAGAGAATGCCTAATGGCATTAATTCTTTTGTAATAGGGAATGCAATAAATAAATATAAGAATATTTTACTTACTTTAATGATTATTGCATTAACACAAATATTCTAAAAACTGACACAAATCAATAAAAATATTGCTAAAAGCTGGTCAAAAATAACTTAGACCTTATAATTGTATGCATTTGCATTATTAAAGTATAGGTGTCAACAAATAATACTGTAATAAACATCTGCTATAAGTAACTCAGTTGAAGTATTAATGAAAATAGTCATTAGTAAGTTTGACTTACGCCGGTAGGTATTCGTTTTTAAAAAATGATTTTTTCATGATATGGTGACAAACGAGCACACGATCCACCTGATTGTAAGCAGTTACTGTGACCCAGACACCCATATCTATCCTCAATAAAGAATCAAAATGCAGATGCGTTGTCACCCGTGAGGACCAAGATGGAATGCCCCTTTTCAGTAAAAAGGGTCGCCAGTTCCCTACAGTCACCATACGAAACAGCAGTGTTAAGCTGGTATTCTGTGAGAGCGTGGTCCTTCCCTGGCCGAGCCGACCCATTCGTTCTACAACTATACTATTAATATAACTGCAGCATGGCTCTACCACATACAAATTACTATTATATTCACTGTATGCATATAAAATTATTTTCTACAAACTTTTTAAAAGGAGGAGGTACTCAATTCGACTGTATGTGTTACCCCAAAACTTTTTCTTAGTTGATGATTCGATTCGATGATTCTTTTTTTATTTGAAAGTTGGTGCTTCTCATGTGGTCCCATATGAATTTGATTAAGGTCGGACCAATAGTTTTAAGTTATTGAAAGTTTAGGAATTAAAAACAAGTACAAATTAAAGACAATAAAATCTGTCAAATTAGTTTATTCAAAATAATAGTATAAAAATAAACAATCATATGATGGTGATAAAATTTTTTATTTTAAGCAATTTCATTTAAATTCAATGTTAAAATATTATTCATTACCACTATATCATTTAGACAGTAGAAATAGAAACTTTTTTATTAAATGTAGATTATAAATAATACTTACTGAAATGTTTAATTACCACTGGTTCGGAAAAAACCTCTGTCCTGAGAAGAACCAGCAAGAAACCCAGCGGGAGTTAAAAAAATAACAGCTTAAAATCATATATGTTACACAATTAACAACACAAAACAATCATTCGACGGCTCCGTGGCATAGCAATGAGTTGCAACGCTTGGAGCCGCGGGTTCGAATCCCGCACTGAACAAGTATTTGTATGGCCTACAAATAATTGTTCCGGGTCTGGATGTTTGTCCCTGTGCGATATATGTTTGTAAACTGCCTCCACGATACAGGAGAAAATCCTAGAGTGGGGGTAACGTTTTTAAAAAAAAAAAATAGATTCTCACAATCACCTCAGGGGTTATTATCATCCATAAATTCCTTATAATAACCCTTTTTATACAAACATAGTTTAAAGTTTTTGAACTTTGAGCAAATCAAAGTTTGTATGTTTTCTGGGATTTTGTTATAAAAGCATATACATGTATATGTATGTGTGAATGTACATTACATTTTCATAAATGTATTGAGAGGCCAAAGTTAATATATTAATTTCCTTAAATTTTTGTCAAAGCGAATAGGTTTTAAATCATTGATTGCTCTTATGGCCCTCTTCTGTAAAACAAATATAAAATATAAAGAACAATTCTTTGATGGTTGGGTTAATAAGGCCATACATAGCCAGGAAACAATACCTACTTAGATGCCAAGTTTCCTAAATTTATTATACAATTACACTTATATATTCAAATTTACTACTACTAAACTACAGACTAAATAAGTATTATAATTATTATACTATACTAAACATTATTGCTGCTTTCTTAACCTCTCTAATTCTAATTTTAATTTCTCAGTTTCTAACTTAAGTTTTTCGTTATTCAAATTAAGCTCCAAATTTTTTAATTTTAAGTTATCATTTTCTAAATTAATATTATTTAATGTGGCATCTAAGCATTGTTTTTTGGCTGAATAATATTCTGCTATGGCTAAGTTCCTCGCAGTCCTGTTCTCATCTTTCTTCAATTTCTTTTTCACTGGAATATGAAGCAAATATGAGATCAATATAAGTGCACTCATTTCTGTTTTCATAAAATTTAGCATATAATAATATCATAGATGTATAATGGGGCTGTGTTTATAATTTAACTTTATCAAAGACGTCAGTGTTCATAAAATCCTGTCATCTCAGCTAGGAGACCAGTGTGAAAAATAAGCAATTATGCCCAAATCAGTAAGGTGGTTAAGATACTTTGATGAGATCATACCTATTAACATAAATCATTTATCTCATAAATAAAAGATCTTCCGCAAGTGATTATGCCTGACATAGTCTAATTTCCCTGTGACTTGCTCAGATGCAATTAAATAAGCCTTACATAAATAATCTTCAACAAGGTTAAATTAATAAATATTTTATCACATAAATGTAGAGAGTGAGGAAGGGCAAAACGTGAGGGCTAATCAAAATAAGCATTTATCATTCATAAATCCAAAATCGTAAAAACAACCATTACCTGCTCTAGGTGTACTAAATGTAAGCCTCTTGGTTTTATTCGGAGTGATCAAATTTTGGTCAACCACCTCTAATACTTGGTAATCAGCAACCACATTCTCAATACCTTTTTCATTACATAATGGTGTTGAGATTGTGGTTTCATTTAAGTCTGTAAAAGTCTGTAAAATTTGTGGTGTCTGCACCATCACATTTCCTAAGTTTTCACTATCACTTGTTCCACCTTCACCATCACCATCACCACCACCACCAACATTAAACCAAGCTATTTCCTTGTCACCCCCAAACGGTACAGTAAACCCACTGACTGTACTTCCTAATAGACTGGTCACCCGGTCTAATATGTCATCTGGGGGTATATAGTCAGCAGGGCCACCACCAGTCTGCAATAAGAATATTAGATTTAACATTATTTTAGAACATTCCATTGGAAGTTATAGACTATGGATAAAATATATATTATGTGTTAAAGTATGTAACCTTAATTTGGTTCATCCTTATTTTGGTGCTGCGCTTGCGCGAGTTCTTCTTTAAATTTTCCCACTTCAAACGCAACTGCTGTGGTGTTCTTGGAAAATTCGTGGCTGTGGCATTGAATCGCTCTGCCAAACGAATCCACTCTTCAGTTTTAAGTTTGTTGTTGGTGGCGTTAGTGGTTTTGGTGGTAATTATTTTACTACCTTCTATTAGGTCAAGCAAAAACTTTGACTCTTCTTTTGTAAGAGGTTTACCTTTTACCTAGTAAAAGAAAATTACAATGATTAACAACAACGTTACAAATAAGGCGGGAATGATAAGCGTCATTATGAAAGCGCGCGCAACTTAGAACCTTAATAGATAAAACAATATGTACTTACGATTTCTGAATCCATTATATTATAATTTCTAATTTATATATAACAAGAAGATAATATTTTTGAAGTCTGCTACACGGAAATAACTAAACTCGCACTCGCAACGGAATCAAAATGTCTTGTCAAATTCAAATGCAAGACGTCTACGTCACACGTTCCATTTCAACTAAATAATGTCATAGTTTTAATACCAAAACTAGACTGAAATTATAATTTCCGTAAATTTTTAGGCATAATATTATAACAACAAACATTATTTTGAAACATTTTTTCAGTAGTTATGTGAATGATTTGTTTTAAAAGACACTTAATAAAGTTTTATGCAATCGATATTTTACATCAAAAGGAACGGTCAAGAGGGAACGGATTGCTAGAAATCTGTCGTCGAAAAAAAATTGGGATTGCCGGGTTGAGTTATTGGCACGCGGATTGAAGACCAATCCAACGATACACCGCAATCCAAGACTGCGGTCGATCTTGGATACGAGATACATTATTAATTTCGGGCGTAAGTGGATACTACCCCGGATCGAGTCCAGCAGATGTGTATGTGTATTTTTTGTGTAATAATAATATATGAATAATATAAAATAAATAATATATAAATATATATTAATAATGTGTATTTTTTCCTTTTTTTCAAGTTCTTTCTTTTGTAAGAATTAAGCGCCATCTGTTCGGCAAAGCGCAACACTAACGAAAATTAAATTTGAGTCTCGCATCTATCTCTAGTATATATACAGCACAAACTATATAGAAACACTACGCGTTATATACAGTAATCTATGTTCTATGTTTATTTATCCAGCTTGCTACATATATATTTATCTAAGTATTTATCTATGGTTTGTATTTGGATTGTGGATGTACACAACGTAAATAAATTCTCAAAACCGTTGATATTTAATTAAAAATGAATGACGATAAACCATCAAGCGATGTTGTTTTGGTAGAAGAAAACGAGGGCGCGAAAGCACGAGGTACTTATAAGATACTGAATTTGAATATGTAAATGGTTAGAAAGACTTCATAAAGTAGAAATGTCAAGAGAAAGATCATCATCATATCCAACACTACTGCTGAAAATTTATTCATTTTATAATAATTATAAATATAGTATATATAAGTATAATTATTATAAATAGCTTGTGTTTGATCACAATCCACTTAAGTATTTGAAAACGTGACTTTACAATAAAAGAAAAATAATTATGTCACCAATCCATAAAATGGAGCAGGTTTAATATTGTCTTGTTGGTGTTCACCAAATGTTCACAACGTAAATTCCTAGAAAGAGACCATAAAGTAAGTAATTATTTAATTAAAAAATGGATGACGATCAATCACCATGCAATGTAGTTTCGGTTGAAGAAAACGAGGGCGCGAAGAGGTATTACATACCAAATTTGAATTAGTACCTAAATTAATAGTTAGAGTGACTTCAACAAAGTAGAAATGTCAAGAGAAAGAGATCACCATCATTTAAATTCAGCACCACTGTTGAACATTTACTCCACATATAATTTACTAGTGTTTGATTACAATCCACTTGAAGGTAAGTAGACTTGAACCTAAGCTTGCAAACATTTTTTTCAGGGTTAAGCTTAAACCTTATACTCGTTTTGGAAATGTGTTTTGATTTAATTACAATAGAAATAAATTTCACTAACTAAAAATTGCATATAACAAAACAGATCACCCATAAAAAAGTTAATTACTCAGACCCAGACAATCCATTTGTGGCCGAAGATGAGACTCGTACACAACAAATTGAGGTTTTTCATAAAACAAAAATTATAACAGTTCACATTACATAGTTTCATTTACCACTATCATGGGAGAGTTTAAGGCAACTTTTAGATTACTAACCTTTTAGATAAGATAGGTCAAACTTGTAGTAAAACTGAATCAGCTACTCCTGACTTTAAGTAGGACTTGTCTGGCCTACCCCTAGAGTGTTTTTGTAAAGCCGTAGGTGTGGAGGCAGAGCAGCCCCCGCCTACTGTGCTCTGCAGCTTTGGCTTAGTAGTCGCCTCTAGTGACCAGCCTCAGCCGCTACAGATCACAGGTGTCTGCAATTTGCTACACAAGGCGAAGATCCTGCACTTCCCGCAGCGCCAAAGCCGTTATAGAAGTAACTGAGTCAATATTCCTGTGCAAAAGAGTGAGGTTATGCTTTTACAAAAAAAAATACTCATAAACTATACATTTCCACAAGGGGGGAAGCTTCCCAAGAACCTTACCCCTCGTCCCATATATAGTTTTACCCTGAAACCAGAAACTGCTGAATCAATTTTAGTGTTTTTTTTTTCATTAAATAACATGCTTTAGGGGTGGTCCCATGTATAAATAGGGGTGAAGTTTTTAATATTTTGAATGTAATTTACATGACATTATTGTTGTAAAAAAACTAATATAAAATAAAAACCAACTTCTAAAACTATAATGAATAAAATAATTTCCACATGTAAGCTTCTGAAGTTAGTGTTAAAACATAGTGTGTATCTATGAATTAAAACCTGTATTTCATAAACCTTTTAATTTTTGATTCTTTTTTGAATTATTTTTATAAGTATAGTAACTGTGGATTACCAAATACAGTAGTAACTTGTTCTGTTGTTTTGTGGATACTTCTAGAAATAAAACTCAAATTATTTAAATTTAATGATTTTCTGAACTAAAAACCATAGAGTTAATAAAAATACTCTTGTTTGATATTCTTTCAAAAACTGCATGGAACAAGTGTTTGTATAGCCTTCAAATTATTGTTTGGGGTTCGAATGCTTGTCCATGTGCAGCTTCCATGACACATGATACAGGAGAAAATCCTGCTGTGAGAGGGTACATTTAAAATTTAATTTATATTTAATTTTGATAATTTGCTTTTGAATTGCAGATGGACCGATTATAGAACTTTTCAAGAGTCTTATCACTAATGACTATAAAGAAAACACTGTTTTAACTAATGCCCAAATAATAGATATTTTGCAGAAAGAGTTTAACATAAACATCCAAAAAATCCATGACTTGGAAGTAGAGATATATGTAAATGTTGTAAAAAAATACCTGAAGGATTGGCCTGAATGGGATGAATTTGAACAATCCGTAATTGATTTTAAATCTAAAAATAACAATAAAGCAATGACAAGCATTTTAGAAGAAAAATATCTGAACCTAAAAAAATATTTGGGTAGCATGTTAGAAATAGCAAAATATTTATCACCAGATATTGTTAATAATATTCCTATAACTGGTCAAATGTACAAAATAGAAAGTGCTAATAAAGAAAATGTGGTGATGGAAATACTGGCAACAAGGAAGCAACTTAATCACCTAATATTAAGACATCCAATAGGTAATAATTCAATTTTCAATGTAAACGAACCACTTCCCAAATATTACAACTATCCAAATTCATTAACACTCGACTCTATTCTTAATTGGTGTGGAATAGAGATTGAACTAAAGTTAAAGTTGGCTCAGGGTGGCGTAATAAATCTCAAATATGAAAACTGCCACAAGCTGCAACATACACTTGTTAATAAAATGTTAAAACTTGACTCTTACCAAAAATCGTCATTAAGTCAGCAGTGGGAAGTAAAATCTAAGAGAAAAAAATTGACAGAGATATCCAAAGCTGTTATTTTGAATTTATTTGAACAATGTGTATCAAACGATAGATACCAGAATTGGAAACCCGTTTTGGTGAGCATGCATAAGATTTTGAATAATATTACACAAAGTATGCCATCTAGTATTGGTGTTCCTGGAACTTTCAGAAAATATTTAAGCAAATATGGCTATGTCAGGTTCTTGTATGAGAATGTGACAGATGAAGTGACAAATGCTGAAAATGAAAAGTATGATTTGCAATTACAGGAAGTTTTAAGTCCAATGTGTCAATTACATATTGAACTCTATCCATACTCTAGTCATGAGTCTATTAAAATACGCTGCAACTTCTGCCAGGTATATTTTACAGGAGAAAATGTTTCATGGGAAATTGAGGATCATTTTAAGAGCCATATTGTTGAACCAGACTGGCAGTGTGTAAATTGTAATAAAGCTATTACCATGTCCCATTTGACACGGGCAAACTGGAATCACAATTGTGAGCCTGCCTCTTTGTATGAGTTACTGTCAATGAAACAATAACAATATTTGCCATTTTCTACAATGACAATCTTGAGGTGTAAAAGTCATGATGATTCTATATGTTATTTATGAATTATTATTATTATCACATTTAAAAAACGACTGATTTTGTGAATGCAATGGGGAATTTATCCAATATGTGTATAAGTGATGGTACTTGTCCACAATTCATAATGTAACGCTGGACCGTAAGGCACATAAAAATATTAAGTAAATACCATAACAGAAGAAAAATGTTTTTATTAGCCTATGAGCAGATTCAAATCGAAGGAAGGAAGGAGATGTGTTTTTTTACTTATAGTCCATTAAAGCTCTGCTTGAGTTGCATCCTCTCTTCTTTGGTTTAGTGGTAACCTATCCTATTGGTTTTTGAAGCAATTTAACATTAAAGCTTGTATCAAATGTATGCTGCCGTGCTTACGATAATGGCAGTAAGTATCTATATTAATATTTCGAGAAAATGGGGCGCAAAGTTTTCGTTCTTTTTTTACCTTTCCTGTTTTCTGTTAATGAGTTTTCTAAGATAAGATAATTGAAATGTGTAGCGTAAGTGCTGTATTTTTATTTAATGTACCAATTAAAGATGTCGTTGAATTATATTAGTTTTAAATAACAAAAAAACCGTTTATGCTCAGTATAAGTTGATAATCCTAAAACAATAATTTCTTAGAATTACCGGAGTAAGTACGTAGTCACTGCTCTTATGGTAAGTGATTCGTATAATTCATAGGTCCGCTTAGAGAAAAACAACAATAAATACAGTAAAAAAATCTTTTATTTATTAACTTTCCTCTTTAATTAATACTTGTACAAATCTTTTTAAACTAACTTATCTTTAATATGGCAAGGATTTGAGATCCATCGTACAAAAGTTACTTATGTACTAGTTTAACAAATCATAATTCAACATACTTATTTTTCATTAAATCAAAATAAAAAAGTAAACATTTAAAATATATTTCAGTCTTGTAAACTTAATCGGAATCAATATTTACATCTGAAACAGGTAAGTTTAGCCAAAACTCTTTTCTGTTATCCGGCATTAGCTGCAAAAGGTTCTTCATTATGCCATTTTTAGTAGATTTAGATATGCCCCTAGGGGATGTTTTTTGAATAAATTCAGGGAATTTTCTTTGATTTTATATATTTTATTTGAAGAAAGTAAATTAAAAATAGTATAAATTTCTTTGTGTTCATTGAAATCGTACCAGCGGAAAAAAAATTGTCTCTATATCACAGGCTTAACCCTATTCGTGTACATGTATATAACTCATTTCGGTGTCGCTTTTTCGTTTCATTGAGTTTCAAATCACAACAATTCTAAATAAATTTTCACTTCACAAAACGTGGCGCTTTAACTCAAACATTACGTCCGAATTCATGAGTAACTGCCCCTATTGCATTACAAAACGTGCAATATTACTCTTGTTATGATGGTTGTAAAGAATTGTACACTCAAAATAAATACCATTGCTTATTATATCTGGAGTATGTGTACTTACTGTTTAAATTATAGTAAATTAATGTATTTAAAACAAATACCTTTGCTTATTACATACGCAGTAAGTGTGCTTACTGCTAATATAATAAGTAAATAATGTACTCAAAACAAATATATTTGATTATTATATATGCAGTAAGTGTACTTACTGCTAATATAATAAGTAAATAATGTACTCAAAACAAATTAATATATTTGATTATTATATATGCAGTAAGTGTACTTACTGCTGACATTATAAGTAATAAATGTACTCGAAACAAATACCTTTACTTATTGTAACCACAGTGTGTATGCTTACTGCGGTAATCATTAGCAATGTCGTAACGCTATTGTAGGCGCCACACTTGCAAACCAATAGTAAGTATACATAGATACTGCTTTATTAATAAGTAAGCTTTGTAACAATTTAGATCATACTGCTCTTATCATTACTGAATTTATAAGTTCCTGCTGAGATATTAAAATGAGTGTCAGGCTATATTATAAAGTTCATTACGCTGATTCCGTATCTGTATATAACTCAGTTTGCCCAAAAATCGTACTTACTGCCATTATCGCAAGCACGGCAGTATGTACACAATACATTCACAGTACTGAAATATGTGCCCCACTATCATATCATATTATGTTTGTAGGGTATCATAACACTATAACTGGTAATAATTACAGGCACTGAAACTGCCTTATCTGCATGTACATTTTGTAATTAAGTTTTCACCAATTTACGAATGTCAGAATAATCTAAAATTCCAAAGAACTCACTACATTTATTTATTTTTGTTCGCGACGGCAAAGTAATTGAAAAATGGTGATTAAAAAACAATATTAGGAAAGTATTAGTGACAAACCTAAGTGAAAGGTCCAATATTGTAATTTTACATGTTTACAACCCTTAAAATTATACTACCTAAAGAGCTTTGTTTTGTAATCGTCAAGAAAATAACTCTTATTTGTACAACACAAAGTCTGGCAATTTGAGCGCGACACGTTATAGAACAAATCGGACATTGCGTAATATTAAAACCCGAAAAAAATGAAAATAATTTTTATGCTCTAGAAGAATTGTGTAAACATAGTATTTAATTAGATTAAGGTTCATAAATTAAGGAAATAAAAGAATTTTTAGCGTGATGAAACTTATTTCTCACTTATAGTAAAATTAAGGAACTAATGTACCCAAATATTGTGAAAATTTGGGATATTTTGGCTAATAACTTTTTACATTATTTATATAAGGTGGCTCGAACTCACTGGTGGGCGTGGCCAAAAAGCACGCTGTATCACCTGGTATCGTGCCCGACAGAGATAGTATCAATGATGAGCAGTTAGACGCTAGTCTTCACGCACGTCTTGTTCGAATGGCGTTCCGAACCGTTCGAACAGAAACGAATCCCTTTACATCCCTTCAGCCGTTCTGGCGTGATTGAGTAACATATATCCATCCATCCAAACTTTCGCATTTATAATATTTAGATAATAATTGTAATTAGTTCTGCCTACTTATAAATTGTTTTCAAAAATATTTATTACCTGTCTTCTTACTTTTTTATATATACTCAATATCACTAAATGTAGTGACCCATCAAGACTTCTTAGTACCGACGTACCTACCTAAAGTTTACATTTTAGTGTCAACGACGCGGCGACGGTTTGTGACATTTTGTTGTATTGTAGGTTGTAGGTATCTAGGTAATAACAGTAGGTACCTATGATAATCCCACATAATATACCTAGTTTGTCCGCCGCAAAGTCGGCGAATAAATAATTAAAATGTTTTGTAAATATTTATTGATTATTTATTTCCTTTATAACATTTTCATTGAGAGCGGTGGTAGCTCAGATAGTTAGCGCTCGCTGTCAGTATCACAGTACGCAAGCAACCCGGGTTAAATCTCCGCCGGCGCAAATGAAATTATTGCAATTTTAAGTACTGATTTACCACGTGCTTGGCGGTGAAGGAAAACATCGTGAGAAAACTTGAATGTCTGAGGATATAATTATAATTGAATATAAATCAAATTGACATAGGTACAGATAAAATTTTGGGGTACTTAGTTTCTTTATTCAAAATTTTATTTATATTCCGCTTGTTTTGCCAGTGCTTATGTCAATTTGATTTACATTCGATCTCTAAATTGTAGCTTGCGAGGGTAAAGCTGAGAACAAACTATGGGACGTGTCCGTCAGCCGCGGCTGCCAGACGCGGCTTAGCGGTGTGCACGGTAGTCGAGACGGCATCCTCGGACGCCTCACTACAGTCATTCTATAAAGGTGTTTCAATCGAGAAACATGACAAGCAGCGACAGCGAGGACGAATTTATAGAGTTAGCGGCAGCTGCCTTATGTTGTCCTCCAAAAAAAAAAGTGAAAAGGAGTGTTTGGGTCCATGATATTAATGTAAAACGACTCGAGTATGGTGAATTTCATACATTGTATCCAGACTTACAAAAAGATGATAAACGTTACAAAATGTACTTAAGAATGAATGAAAACCAATTTAATTTTCTGCTTAGACTGATTGAAAATGATGTTTAATTCTGCAGAAATTTGCTCCCACACTTCCTGTTTTAAAGTAGCTTTTTTATAGTGCTACAGTTTGTAGTTATATAGGCTTTCATGGCCACGAACACATTCAATTAAATTTTCTTCGTCTGACATGTCGCGAGCGCGGTCAGTTCGTTTGTAACACTCGAAACGTCCGCGGACGCGTCCCGTGCCCTGTGCACACCGTCCGCGGACGCATAAATATCCAGCCGGCTAGATTCTGTTCGGACGTCTGAACGCTCAAGGACGACCCAAGGGCACGTCCGCGTCTTACGACCGATAGTTTGCACAGTGTAGTATTGAATGTATTAGCTAGATTCAAATAAGCCGCGTCTGTCAACCGCGGCTGATGGACGCGTCCGATAGTTTGTACTTAGCTTAACGGGATCTATCAGGTCCTAAAAGTTGGTAAAACATTACTTCGCGTACATCCGCTCGATAAAATAAAATGATGTGTCTTACCTAGTTTGAAGAGCACCTCCGGCTCTCCCTCAATTGCGTGTATTATCACCGTCACCACTAATCACAGCACCACTACACTAAGAAAGACACACCACTGACGACAATACGACACGTGTTTCGCCTCTACACGATAGGCATCTTCAGGTGATCTAGACTGGGGTGGCTGACCGCTAAGTGAGCGGCGAGCTTTTTTTGCGCCCAGAAGCAATTGAAAAGGGCTACCCTCTGGAAAGCGAGGAAGGGAGGTGGTGAATACTCTAAGCAAACGACGACAGCCGGCTGTCGTGGTTTTGTGGGACTCACTGTGACTAACCTATGTGCCTACCCACTAAACACTACCTGTCAGACTGGCGTCTTTAGGGAAAAAGGGAGCCTAACTAAGGCAAATTAAGAAGATTTTGGCCGAAGATTGGGCCTGAGCCGCCAGGAGGGAGTTCAGGTCGGCCAAAAGCTTGTTTGGCGAGTCCGAGAGAGAGTACCTCGGCCTGCGGACTCGATAGCGAGAGTGGAGTGGAGCTGCATAAGTAGCTGCTTCACGAATAAAATGATTAAAGTGAGACTGAGGCTTTGAAGAAGTTCTCAGAGAGTGTTTTTAGAAATTGTTGGATTGTGGGGAGCTCTAAGTCTCGATGGAGGTCGGCGTTACGAACGTACCAGGGTGCGTTCGTAGCTCGAAAACAGAAGTGGTTTTGAACGATTTGGAGTTCGTTAATGATTTTGGGCTTAGCGTGAGCAAATATAGGGCCCGCGTAAGTCATGACTGGTCGTATACAGACCTTATAAAGGGTTCGCTTGTTTCGCAGGGACATTTTACTGTGTCGGTCCAGCATACTGTCGAGCCTACTCAGATAGAAACGTGCATTGCGGGTTACTCTTTTGACATGGGGCCCGAAGGTGAGCCTCGTGTCAAGGGTGACACTTAAATATTTGGCGGTCGTATGCCAGGGGACAGGGGTCCCTAGCATACGGATTGTTGGAATGGTAGTGAGGCGGCGTCGTTTATGATCGAAGTGAACGGCGAAGCTCTTCTCCGGGTTCACATCGATGCGCCATTTTTGGAACCAAGCTCCTAAGTCATGACTGTCCATGACTCTTAAGTCATCCAACTGACTTTTGGATCTTGTTCAGTATGAAAGGTAGTGAGAGATACCTTTACAAAGGAGGGCAGTGTCATCTGCTAAGAGGGAGAGTTGAACACCTTTCGACGGGATGGGAACGTCGTTGGTGAACAGGATATATAGGAGAGGGGCAAGCACTGAGCCCCGAGGGACACTGGCTTTGATGGGGCGCTGAGAGAGGAGCGTGCCTTCGTGTCTAAAACGAAAGGTACGATCCTTCAGGTAAGAGGCCACGAGACGAACAAGACGATCAGGGAGACCTATTTTATACAGTTTGTAGATAAGGCCTTCGTGCCAGACTCTATCGAATACTTTTGCTATGTCGAAAAAGACCGCGATGGTCTTATGACGACGAGGATAGAAACCGCTGAGTTGTTGGGGACAAGAATGTTTCGCTCGGATACCAAATTGGTGGGGGATGACAAGAGGATCGCCGTCTGTGGGAAACAGATGGCTGATAGGACGATGACTGGAGGAGGGGTTGTGAGGCTTTCCTGGCTCGGGGATACCAATGACAGTTGCCTCTTTCCACGTGGGGGGAAAGTAACTAAGGTTGAAGCAGGCGTTGAAGATAATAGCTAAAAGGGTTAACACCTGCTCAGGAAAATGTATAAGGGCTTGGTTGGAGATGCCATCCGCGCCCGGAGCCTTTTTGGGCTTCAGTCCTTTGATAAGGGATGAGATCTCATCATTGGACACAGTGATAGGGTCAGAGGCAGTGGGGGGTGAATTCCGGTGGCAGACTTCATCCTCCACTATCTGGATGTGGAATGTGTCGGTGGGTTGAGAACTAGGAGAGCATTGTGCGGCTATGCTGTCTACAAAGCACTCAGCCTTTTCCTCGTCCTCGGTGGCAATAGTACCGTCGGGCAGGGATAGAGGGGGAGTGTGGGTGATAGCGTCTATGCGAAGGGCTCTCGCCATCTGATAGTACGCTGTATGAGAGGGAGAGATATTTTCCATGAGCTTACTCTTTTCGAGGTCTCGAAGTTTGGACAGGTGGGAACGGACTTCTCGTTGAAAACGATTGGCCGTACGCCTATAGTCGCGGGTGGGATAGCAAGCTGCTCTCCGGAAAGCAGCTCTCTTGACTTTCATTAGGTTGCTAATATGTAGGGGGAAAACCATCATTATTAGCAACCGAGACGGCCCTTTCATGCTCCTTAAGGAAGGATTTTATAAGGGTGTAGAGAGAATTTATAGTCTAGGGATCGTAAGCGTAACTGCCGATCATGTGGTCCCGGGGTCAGACCAAAAGCATCCCAAAGTCGAAGTTGACAGTGTTTCATTCCCGTGCATAACCGTCATTAACTGTGTGATCGTTTAAGCTGTCGTTAAAATTTTCTAACAACTTCGCAATGTGCCTCATCAGCATATTGTAAAGAATTTTGTGAACAAATTATAAATCAGACTAGGCTGTAGGTTTAAGACCTTTGACTGACTGTCTTTATTGGAAAATCGCGTAGAGAGAGAATAAACTATGTGTATTGATTCTACCTATAATTAGTAAACAGAATTTACTTTTCCCAAAAATCAAGAAAATAAAAATAGAGAATCATCGGCAACACTAACCTTAAATTATTGCTATCCCGCTTAGGTATACGGCAAGGACTACTCTATTGTACATACTCCCTCTACGGAAAATCGTATAGTGAAACGTAAAAACGTAACCGTACCGATACTAAGTCTATGACCGAACCTTACTAACCTATAGACTAAACATTCAGTGACGTCATCAGCGTGTGAAAGGAATGCACGTATATAGTTAGACATAAGAGTAAGGGAGAAGCAAATCTATATTTCTCATAGACATAGTATTCTATCTACGTACGAACCGTATAGTGATTTTATATTCTCTTTGATCGTAACAACTACAAAAACAAGCAACAACTCAGCTCTATGGACGCGATCGATCGATTTGATACATACCTAGATAAATAAATATGTAGCAAGCTAATTCGATACCAAAGAAAAAGTTAATAAAATTCACATAATTCATACAACGTAAAATATATTTTAAAGGCTATGGAAATTTAAGCGAATAGCCCTCAGAAATATCGTCAAATTTTTCAGGTATTCGAAATTTGCATATATTTAACTTGTATTTAACTATTAAAATAGGGTATTATATGGGATTCTAAAGTTAAAAAAGTAAGTTGTTTTCTCGTGTGCGAGTTGAGAGATTTCTTGGTAATTTTAATCTAATTTAATGAAAGTATTTTTTTGTATTTTTTTTGTTTACGCAATAAATAAGTAAAGTTAGTAATTTCACTAATACAAGTTATTTCACAGCCTAATTACTATTTTGATCTCTGTAAACAAATTATATTTTTCTATCATTTGTTTATTGTTAAAGTTATATGTTGTAGCACTTAAATGTTTATTAGGTTAATGATAATGTATAACCTATTAAGGATCAACAGATAAAGCTCTCTTTTATATCTGTTGCTTAGCATAATTACCTGTACTCATGTTCTGCCTTGATATAGAACCTTATATATGTGCAATTGTGTGAACAGTTATGTCATCTATCTTATGTGCCTTCCTTGTTTGGAGTTCACTTAGCAACAGGAGGTCACTTAGCAACAGTTGGACTGTAAGCTAATGTGTCAGGCTAGTTTTATATTATTTTAACAAAATTGGAGGTCCTTGCTA